GATGTACATAACCTACTGCCAAATGAAGTAGTTAATTATTGAGTTTCTGACCTGAACTCTATGTGTAAAAACCTTTTAATTCTTCGCCATCATCCTTATAATTTGATGCTTTTAAGTGCATATGATGCTTTGTTGCACTATTGAAAGGCTTGATGTTTATGTTCTTTCTGTCATTTATCGAGTACACTGCAATGCATCAAGCAAATTATGTTGTAGTATAGCTGTTGAAGCTTCCTGAATCTGCTGACAGTGCACCAAAAATAGCAGATATCATTGTACAATTTTCTTTGACAATATGATCACCTCTTGTTTCCAATATATTTTGCAAATAATTAAGGGTTTTGAAAGTAGACTTTCAATGATTTTTCTAACGTTATTAGGGAAAAAGAGAACCTGTAGATCAATATATGTCTTTAAATCCCTCCTGTTTCTCACTGATTTCATAATTCTGCATCCCTCGAACACAAATGCTCGATAAACCTGGTCCACAAGATAATTTTTTGTCATGCCGAGCAAAGTTTTCTGAAAACCAAAACATCACAATTTTCTTAAATTAACAAACTTCAACTCTAAATTAATCATATACCTTGCACAACCAATGACCAAAGAACTCTTGACTGAATTGAGCAACATTAGAAACAGAAACATGGACGTCTCAGAAGCAAATTGACCAATTCAGAGAGACAAAAAATTGCCAGAAAACGTGGAACTGAACTGATTCCACCTGAATCCATCAATACATTTCCCCGAAATGCATCATTAGAACAATGCTTCACACATTAATTCATCTCCTCACGACTAAAAAGAAATTCCAAAATTTAATCACCTAAACGCCATCACATTTACAATGAAACATCATCTAGCGACCTCTGGGCGACTTTCGATGGGATGTCAAAGGAGACCCGTTACTCGTGACCCGTCTTGGTGACCTTAGGCCTGGATCCGAAACCTTTCTCCCTCCCTTTTGCATTTTGCTTAATGGTTTCTTTTGAGTCTAAGAGTGGCTCGAGTGTGGCTAAGACCTCAGACATCTTAGGTCTGAGTCTGGCTTCATTGCTTATGCATCTTAATGCAAGAGTGGCGATAGTAAAGGCTGCTTTTTTAGGGTATTGGCCCCCTAATCTCGAGTCCATGATCTTGTATAGCTTTCTCTTGTCTCCAAGAAAAGGTCTAGCCCAATCTACAAGGTTCTGTTCTATGCCAATCTTGTTCTTGTCGAGAGCTCGACGTCCAGAGAGTAGTTCCAGAAGCACGACACCGAAGCTGTAGACATCAGCTTTAGCAGAGAGACGGCCTGAAAAGTGATTGCAAGCATTAGAACAAATAATTTCATCACTGATCACATACTCTTGAATTGTAAAAAGATTCTAAAATTACTTGTAAGAATTTCTTCAATGATTCTCTTGAATTAGTCTTCAACAGTCAGCCTATTCAGAGATTGATTCATTCACGTGTAAGTAAATAACAAATATTTCACAACAAAAATGATTTACTTGTGTAACTCTATTACTTAATGTGTAATTTGTAAGGAATGACACTAGTTCTATTATGCGTTGCATGATTGACTTTTTCTATACGATTTTACTATATCCAAACACCATCACCATTTTAATTAAAAATAAATAACTATTTAAATATAAAGTATGTAACCAACATCTATCTAAATGGTTCCTGAACCCCACTTTTCTCTTTCTTATAAAAAAAGGCTGAAGAAGTGGCGAGAGAAGCAGCAGGAAGTTCAGGAGAAAATTAGGCAGACTGGCGGTCGACCGCGAGTCAGCGACGGTCGACCGCAAACGTGCACAGGAGGGCAGTAGGATTCGGATCTGAAGGCGGTCGGCCGTGACGGTCGACCGCGCAAACCCTGTAAGAGATTTAACTCTCGGGATGAGGTTCAGTCGACCGTGAGTTTCCTGTAGGATATTTGTTCTATGTCATTTAGTTCGGTCGACCGTCACGGTCGACCGCGATACCTGCACGGTCGACCGCCGCGGTCGGCCGCGAGTTGTTTTTTGGGCTGGGCTTGGTTTTTGACCCGGTTCGTTTGAAAGCTGATATATAACTCTAATTAGAATTAGTTAGGGTTAAGCAAGGACGTTTTTTGAGCAGTCTTTTGGAAAGAATTGTTGCATCCAATTGTGGGAGATTTGTGAGAGATCTAGAGCTTTGTTTTAGGGTTTGATCGGTGAGATTTGTAACTCTATTTGTATTATCTTGATTTCTAATAGTAAGAACTTCCCCCCTCCTTGCCCCGTGGACGTAGGCAACTTGCCGAACCACGTAAATAGTTTGTTCTTGCTGTGATTGTGATTTGCTTAGTGGTTGTGATTTATCTCGAGTTATTGTTCGAGGCGGCGAAGCTTCCGCCGCGCACAACAAAGGCTTTAACAACCCTGTACCTGTGACTATATAAAAAAACCAAAGGGTTCTCAGAGCTAGGCTCCTGACTGGTTAAAGGCAAAGGGAAAATAGAATTCAGAAGAATTTTGAAGATCTAATGTGCAATCTAGGATTTCCGAGCATGGTCAATAGGCCCAAAAACAACAAAGATGATAGGAGCAAAATTTTGGGTTATAAAAACAATAATACAGTTCTACTCTCACGTGAACTAAAATTTGACCTCATAGACCAACAATTTACCAACCTGTTGCTACATACTCTGGAGCAGCGTATCCATGAGTTCCCATGACTTGTGTGGAGACATGAGTATTATCCCCTGTCGGGCCAGCTTTTGCCAAGCCAAAATCTGAAAGCTTCGGACTAAAATCCTATATCGAAATAAATAAAATTAAAAAAAATCAAAAATGGAAAATTGGAAAAAAAAACACCATTATATAAACCAAAAAGGCAGTAGTATCAATACCGAGTCCAGGAGAATGTTTGAGGCCTTCACATCTCGAAAAATGACTTGGGATTCCCTGTCATGCAAAAACACAAATCCTCTAGCAGCTCCAACTGCTACTTTGATCCGTATCGCCCAAGAAAGTGGCTGTGAACTTCCTAGAAACCAACAATGTTAACTTCAGATATTATTCTTTTAATAAACAGAATGAGTGTATTCCTTAAAGAAAGCATTTCCATCTTCCCTCTTGAATAGTCTCTTTCATAGACTACGGAATCTATCGGGATTGAAGAACATACACAAATTGCAAGAGAACTGAGGTAGTTCTCCACACTCACTAACAGACATTACTCCATTCGTAGCTAGTGCCTCATAATGCTTGATTTCTCATAATGCTTAAAGAAATCAATGATTTTGACAAAGAAAAAGAAACCAAGTACATATTACTCACTTCTAAATAGATGATTCTCCAAACTTCCTTTTGGCATGAACTCATAAACCAAAAGACGGCTGTCACCATCTGAACAGTACCCGATGAGCTTAACCAAATTCGGATGGTGAAGTTGACCAAGATACTCAACCTCTGTCTGCAACAATTTATAACCAAAAGAATACAATGTTACTTAAAAACTAGATATCACAAACGACCACCAAAGATATATGGTTAAATTGGGGAGACCCCCCCCCCCCTACTATAA